TGTTCTGGTATGTTCCATCAGGCCAGGAGCAGAAGGAGCGGGAATGGGAGCTGCACTCTCCGACTCAGGTTGACATCAGCAGGAACCTCAGCTTCATAGCCAGATTCTCCGAACTGCAGGTGACTCGCAGCCCAAGGCAAGCCTGATTCTGCTCGCTGGGCAAGGCTCCTTAGCAAGGACCAGTCTGCAGTCTGTAGGGCTCTTAACTTTACAGTCAGTCTTTGAAACTGGAACCTTGGCCTAACTTGGAGAAGTGTCTCCTCTCTCTCCATTATAAGTGACATGTATGACACTGTTGGCCCCATGCCTTGTGCCTTTGCAGTCAGGAATAATCAGGAACCAAGGAGGTGACATGGTAGCATTACCAGGGTGCGTTAAGACCCTCCCCTCCCCTTTCCTGGGTTGAAATGGGCCATGTGTAACAGATCCCTAAAGAAGTCAGAATCAGGAACTCAGGGAAGTCCCACATCTGAAAGTGACCTCAGAGAGCACTGAGTCAATCACTTACTCTATGGAGGAGGTGACTGTAGCCCATGGAGTGGAGCGGCCCCCCGAGGCCACAGTGAGTTAGAATTCCAGCCTCCTGACCTCACTTTGCCCATCATGCTGCCTCTGTGGCATGATCCAAGTGCACTTGAGGTGGGACCGTTCCCATGTGAGGGGCAGCAGTTTACTCCAGCTCCTTTGACAAAATCCATGTTCAGCTAGAGAGGTCTCACTCTCCTCTTGCATCTTAGCAGCCTCTGCTTTGTTCCAGTGGAAGATGCTGACGCTGAGAAGTGATGACTCAGAGCACAAGTACAGCTCCACCCCCCTGGAGTGGGTCACGCTGGACACTAACATCGCTTACTGGCTGCACCCCAGGACCAGTGTAAGCAGGCATTTCTCACAGCTAGCACCATAGATTCGTCTCATTCCCTTAAGAGCAGCCATTGCATCCTGTGAAGTCCTCAGTTTCTCCAAAGCCTTGCCTAGCACAGGCCTATGACTTGCTTTTCTCCAAACTCTTTGGTGGCATGGGGCCAGTGCTCCCACCAGATGCCGAGGAGGAAGGTCCTAGCACATCCACTGTTGAAGGAAACCCAGACTCTGTTGCTTTTGTGGAAGCTCATTGTTTCCCTTTCCCTGGCAAAAGTGGTTCTTAAAATATCCCCGTTTTTGGGCCGGCCCGGTGGCGCACTGCTACAGTGCACCGCTTGGGAGCGCGGCGGCGCTCCCGCCGAGGGTTCGGATCCCACATACAGACCGGTTCCCGCTCACT